CATGAAGGAATGCAACACATCTTTGCATAATTAAACAAATGTTCTACAGCATAAACAAATGTAACACATCTTTAATATTCTACAACAGATGAATTTTTTTGTTTTCTTTTGTTTTTAAGTTGAGAATCTCTCTTCCAGATAACTCTATCTTATTTCAAAATGACAAAAAAAAAAAAAAAAAAAAAAAAAAACTAAGAAAGGCATCCATTTAGGTTTTTGGGATGTGGTCACTTGGTAACTTCTTCAGAAAACCTTAAAGGTAATGGGATGATTTTTCTCCTATTTCCCATTTCCTCCTTTGTAGCCAGCCCTGAATGGATGAAAGAGTATTTTGACATGTGCTTGTCCATGTTGAGGACTCTAAGATCTTGGACACATGAAAACTAGGGGCCAAGCTCAAGAGGAATGCAAAGCTCTCCTATGGAGCCCAAGCACGAATGTTTACAAATTACTGATGAGTGTGTGCAAAGACTAGCAGCTGCAGCCTCCTCCTTGCGATATGCATAGGGGAGACCACTCACCTACAGAGCCCTCCTACTCAAACTAGGGAACTCCTCCTCAGTGTTGTACCTAATAAACTCACTGAGGTTCCCTGTAGCCACAGTACTGGTAGCAGAGTCTTTGTGTATCTGTGTCTGTCCTCTCTTCACGCCTTGCTGTCCTTAGCTAACACACCAGGACCCAAGATGCACAGGACACAGCATTTCTTTCTGTTTGCTAGACTAAAGGTGTGGTATCTGGAATTCCAGCAGCCACACTGGGTTTTCAGGTAAAAACATGTTCAGATTAGCAGAGCTGTAAGATAGAGATGTGTCCCCAGTAGTCACCCAGCCACCATTGCCACCTCAGCACACCTATGAGCTCTCAACAAAACTTGGTCTAATCCCATATCAGGTCCAAAGGAAAATCAATTCCTCAAACTCCAAAAGGCAGTCTAAATACCCAGACATGAGCTCAAACTGGACTATAGGATTTCTGGAGGTTACATGAATGTCAGCATTCCTCAGGAACTTAGGAAAGTGGTTCACCTCATTTCCCTTAGCTCTGACTAAAGGGACACTCTTTCCTGTGGTGCCTATCAGCACTTCAGTAAATGCTGATCTCCAGGCCCCCTCAGTATCACAAGTCTCTGTCACACATTCCAAGGTCTATGCGAGCATCCTAGCCTTTCTCACCTCTTCCCCTACCTGAACTCTCTCTAGCTAATGAACTTCCCTCCCCATAGTTACTCACTCTCATTACAACCCTGCATGCTGTTTTTTCTCCCACTCTATGCTCTGCTCTGCTTCTCTGTTCTCTCTCTCTCTCTCTCTCTCTCTCTCTCTCTCTCTCTCTCTCTCTCTTTCTCTCTCTGAGATAAGGTTTATCTGTGCAACAGTCCTGGCTGTGCTGGAACTTGCTCTGTAGACCATGCTGGCCTCAAACTCATGAGATCCACCTGCCTCTGTCTGACTACTGAGTGCTGGGATTAAAGGCATGTGCCACCATCACCGGGCAAATTTTCTCTATTCTTTATCCCTTGCTAATCTCTTTTCTTTCACAGAATGCCCTGTCCATATCCAGTCTGTTGGTCACGTTTAGTCTACTTTCTCTCTTTGCTCTGGACGCTTCTAGATGCCTTTTTCATCTCTACAATAAAAAGTTTCTCCTTAACTATACCATGGAGCAGTCATGTGGTCAGTTTATACACTCTAGACCCAAAATGGTCAAGTAATGCTGGGAGATAGTCACCCACTTACTTTGTTTTTTTTTTGTTGTTGTTGTTGTTTGTTTGTTTGGTTTTGGTTTTTCGAGACAGGGTTTCTCTGCGGCTTTGGAGCCTGTCCTGGAACTAGCTCTGTAGACCAGGCTGGTCTCGAACTCACAGAGATCCGCCTGCCTCTGCCTCCCGAGTGCTGGGATTAAAGGCGTGCGCCACCAACGCCCGGCCACCCACTTACTTTGGCACCAGGTAAAAAGATACAAATCCCAGTGGTAGCTCATGCTTGGACTACCAGACCAAAACTGGACTGCCACCAGTTCAAGGACAGCCTGGGCCAAGGTAAGAGACTCTCACACACACTTGAATGGGGTATAGTGTCTTTCTCTAATCCCAGCACTCAGAAGGCAGAGTTCTAGGCTAGCCTGCTATGCACAGTTACAGGCCATCCAGAGGTACACAGTGAGACTGTAACAGTGAGACAATAACAAGAGGTGAGCAGGACTTGCGAGACTACACCTGTAAGGTGTTCCAACACTTGGGAGGTGAACAGAATGCGGTCAAGGTTCAATGGCTATGTGTGGAGTTTGAGGACAGCCTGGACGGCGTAAGACCCTACCACAAGTACCATCCTGTGCTGGGACTCAATTTGTAAACCAGTCCAGCCTGCCTCTGTCTCCTAAGTGCTGAGATTAAAAGCATACACCACCATGTAGTGATATTTTGTTTGTGTTTTTTTTTTTTATTGTTTTTTTTTTTTTTTTCCGAGACAGCGTTTTTCTGTGTAGCCAACCCTGGTTGTTCTGGGACTCGCTCTGTAGACCAGGCTGGCCTCGAACTCACAAAGATCCACCTGCCTCTGTCTCCGCATGCTGTAAACCTCTCTTAACGGCTGACCCTCAGGCTCCCTGCTCCTGCAGCAGAAAACTAGTGTACCAGTCCCTGTTCCAGGTGCAGCCTCGGGTCTCCTAAGCCCTCAGGCCCCAACCACAGGGCCTGACTAGCCTTCCTTCAGGCCTGAAGCTCAGTCTGCTGGCTCTAGACACAGCCTTACTGCATTCTCCCGGCAGGTATTGATCTCCTTAGGGGTCTGGAGCTGCCCTAGGACTGGCTCAACTACTAGACATTTCACCCCAGGTGCTGTGCAACCAGGGCCCACAACCCACCACAAGGCTGGTAAACCCCCTTCTGTCAGCCTAGAAACCCAACAAGTGGTAAGAGACTGGAGGGGGACACTTCTTTTTTGTTAACTATTTTATTATTATTACTATGATTGTGATTAATATTACATATTAATACTATGATACAGTATTCTGCCTGCATGACAGAAGAGGGCACCAGATCTCATAGATGGTTTGTGAGCCATCAGACGGTTACTGGTTTGTGGTGGCTGGGAACTGAACTCAGGACCTCTGGAAGAACAGCCTGGGAATTGAACCCAGGACCTCTGGAAGAACAGCCAGTGCTCTTAACCTCTGCCCACCTCCACAGCCCCGAGGGAACACTTCTTCAGAGGCCTTGTGAGAAATGGAAGCTGGCACCTGTGAGGAGGGCCTGCCAAGGCGGATGAGGCTGCAGGGTGGAACAGGAGGCACAGCTCTGGGACACTGCTCTGCCAAGGCGGATGAGGCTGCAGGGTGGAACAGGAGGCACAGCTCTGGGACACTGCTCTGCCTCAGCACACCCTGTACAGAAGCCCTGTTCCTTGGCTCCTTCATTATCTTTAAAGATCTGGGAAGGGACAAGTCTGCACTGTGCTTGTCAGGGTCACTGTGACCCAAGTGTCAGAGGACAGAGGAGAACTGGCCGGTGACATATGGGGTGGTGAGGAGGGTGAGAGACTCTCAGGAGCAAGGATGGGTGCACTGGCCACTCAGCTGAGGAGTGGGTCCCCTTAGTAGGAGAGCCCAAAGACACCACCTAGCCCCCTACCCGGAGAGCCCATGGCCTCACCCAGCCCCATGCCCTCCCCCTGGCATCCCATAACAAATCTTTCGACACTTGTCTTCTGTCTCCCAGCTCCACAGTCTCAGATTTAACTTGGACCTGTGCTCTGGACAAGTCCTGTGGTGATGGCTGAGATGTTGCTTACCTCTCTCAAAGCCCTGAACTCCTGCTGATTTCCAGACGGCCTCAGCCAAGCAGCCCCGATACCCAAACTGCCCAATCCTGCTATAACCGAGGCCAATACTACCTTTCCAGACTAAGCTCTGAATTAACTTCTCTGCCATTCCCATCTCGAGGTTCCTTTGAGCAACAGGGCGTCTTCCACCCCGCCTGGCCTCAGTGTCTGGCTGCTGCAGAGCTGCTTTGGTCTTGAGTGCTGTATAGTGTTGTGGAATATTTGTTTAACCAGGCAAAGATGTGTTACGCTTGCTTGCAGCTGCATTTGTTTAACTATATAAAGATTTGTTGCATTTGTGTTAATTAAATAACATTAACCTGGGCTCAGAGAGGTGGGGTTAGCAACTAGTTGACAAGAGGTAGCAGAGGAGAGGAGGGAGGAAAGGGGGGGGGATGCCTGGGGCCAACCAGCCAGGCAACCACCAGTTAGCTGGACACGGAGTAGGACCTACAGAATGAAAGAAAGGTAAAAAGCCCTAAGGCGAAACAAAGATGAAAACCAGGTTCATTTAAGTTATGAGAGCTAGTGGGACAAGCATAAGCTAAGGCCAAGCTTTCATAACTAATATTAAGTCTCCGTGTCTTTATTTGGGAGTTGGCTGTGGTCTATGAGAAAGCCTGCTACAGTACAGGACTGGTACCCCTCGCTACAGCTACACAGACTGGTCAGATGCTTTGGAAGCAGCTACTTCCTAAACACAGTGAAGGCTTCCCAGCCATCCCCTGCTCCCCTGAACACGGATTCCAAAGGCCAGGAGTAGGGTCTGCCTCTCCTGAGGCCCCAGGCCCTACTAGTGTCCCTGACTTTTGGTGCCTCATCCCTGCTCACCCCTGGCCACACCTCTCCCTCAGGTAGTTTCCTGTACTGCCTGGGTCTGGGTGCTCTGATGACGCCTGGTCAGTACCTGAGATGCTCCTGAAGGGTCATCCTGTCCAGTGTCTTAAGAGTAAATGGAATCGGTCAGCTCCTAGACCAAGCACCAGCTGCCTCAGGATGCACCAAGCAGAGCCAATTCTGGCTTCTTCTCAGCTTCCAGCTTGTTAGAGGATGCTTCCGGAAACCTGCCCTAGCTGTCCTCCACTTTCTCCCATGAACCCCTGCCATTGACCTCGGCTCCAACTGGAGCTACACCAAGAGCAAGGGCAAAGCAGACAATTCCATGCCAAAGGCAAAGACGAAAGTCAGACTGTTTATTGCAGAAATATGGTCAAGGTTCCATTTAAGGGGCCCCAGGTGAGGAGGGGCTGGACCTCTTGGCCCAAAGCTGGGCAGGGAAGATGCAGCAACAGAGGACCTCCATCTGGCCAGTTCTCAGAGCTGCGAGAGGATGCTGGAGGCCAGGCTGCAGGTGAGGCCTGTGCCATCCGGCTCCACATTCAGCGCCTTCACTACACCATTGTCTACCACCATGGAGAACCTCTTCAGCCGGCGGTTCCCAAAGAGAGACACCAAAGAATCACCCAGTAATAAATCTGTCTCCTAGAAGACAGGCAGAGATGGGTGTCAAGAGCCCCCAAACAGGTCAGAAACTGCTCCCCACATAACACGCCCCTCCAGGACCAACTGCAGGCTGAGGGAAGGGTGGCGCACTCACCTTCCCAAAGGCCCCAGTTGGGTCAGCCAGGAGCCGAACCTGAGGGACAGAGAGTAAATGTCACAAAGAAACCTCCAGTGCCAGTGATGGCTCAGTGAGCAAAGGCGCTTGCTGCCAAGCCTGGCAACCTGAGTTCATTCCCCAGGACCCCACAAGGCAGGAGGAGAGAACCAAATCTCACAAGTTATCCTCCGGCCTCCACTTGTATACCATGGCATGAGGACCCATCCAACACATAAAGTAAGCAAATCAAAAGTAATAGAAAACAAGGAATCCTCCTACCTGGGTCTGACCCCTCAGACAGAACCTCACACCTCACCTTGCCTTTCGCCTGGTGGGCTCGACCCCACTCTTCTGTCACAAAGACGTCATTAACAGTCAGACATGCCAGCACCTGCACTCCCTTGGCCTTCAGAGCCTCAGCTTGCTCCACAAACCCAGGCAGGTGGGTCTAAGAGGAAACCAAAGGGTCAAAAGACAGCAAAAGAGCAGGCGTTCCCGAGCCTGCTCTTTAGCTCCCAGTCTCTGGTATCTCTCTGATCAGGCTAAGGAACCCGGAGTAAAATGTGCCTTTTCCTTTCACCTTGGCTAAAGAGGAAGCTTGAAGCTAAGGATCTGTGGTCAAAAACATAAAATTCCCATGGGCAAAACTTCTGCCTCATTAGCACAATCTTTCAGTGCTCCCACGAGCAGGATCAGGCAGAGGTGTTAGATTTGACTCGGGTCCTTTTCTCCCACACGCCTGATTCTGGAAAGAAGTCTCACCTTAGAACAGCCAGGAGTGAAGGCCCCAGGAACTCCGAACAGCACACCTTTCTTGCCCTTGAACAGCTCTGCCAGGTTCACCTTCTTCCCAGGCTCCCCTTCAAATACCTCCACGGAGGGGATGGCATCTCCCACCTGCAGACAAGGGCTCCAGGGTAAAAGGGGGTTAAAAGGCCTAGGAAACCACATCTAGGCAGACACAGATCTTCATGGAGCCGGTGCTGACACCCAGCAGAGAAAGTGCACCTGCCAGTTTCCACGGGTCCACCTGTCCTCTGCATCTCCTGCTTGCCACACACCTTCCAAGCTTCAAGGAAGCCTGGTTTTTATTTCAGGCCAGTTGGTGGCCACAGAGAAAGGGAGAGGCCTCCACTAGTGCTGCAATGCTGTGTCAACAAGCTACCCAAGACGAACAACGCACAGAGAGGAGCACCCAGTCTGGGGTTGAGAAAGCACCTGGCAACAGGGAGGAAGAAAACCCTGTCCACACAATGGAAAGCCAGGGAAGACGCTCAAGGCAAAGTGTTCAGGACACAGGCTCTCAGGGTAGGCTGAGGTCAGCAGGTCAAGCGCTTGCCACCAAGCCTAACCACCTGAGTTTAGCCCCATAACCACATGGGAGAGAGACAGAACTGACTCCTGAGAAAGCTGTCCTCTCACCTCCACATGCACACGTGTGTTCCCAAATATACACACTAAACATGTATTAAAGAGCGCTTCTAAAAAGGTAAAGGGCCTTTAATCCCAACACTACGGAGGCAGAGGCACGCAGATCTTTTAAGAGTCTGAGGTCAGTCTGGTATACACATCAAGTTCCAGGCCAGCCAGGACTACACAGTGAGACTGTTTTTGGTTGTTTTTGTTTTCTTTTTTTTTTTCTTTAAAAAAAAAGGGGGGGGGGTAAAGTCCAAGAACAGGAGGGGGTAGGTTCAAGAAGCTTCCAGAATTCCAGAAAGACCAAACAGAAGAAGGCGAAACAGTCACAGAGGGGAAACAGCAATGGGAAAAACAGACCCCAGGTATCCAAGGGACCCCAGCTCTTTCAAAACATGCGGTGAAGTGTCATCTAGTACTATCACAAAAGGGCTGGGGCTTTGGAGAGGGTTATAAGGGATTTGAAAAGCGGCAAAGGAGATATTTTAAGAATGGAAAATGACAGTATCCAGTTGCTTGAAAATAGTGGGGACCTGTCCCTGAACGTCACACCGTTAATTTAACAGGGAGGCTCAAGGAATGTCCCGGGACTGAAGGACAGCGATGGGGTCTTGCAGAATGCACGACAGGAAGAAAGCTTCAAAGGAGGACAGCCCGAGAACCCGCGTGGAGCCCAAAGAGCCGCAAAGAGCCGCGACAGGGTAACCCAGGAGAGCTAGAACCGGTCACCTTGATCGGGGCCATAGCTGCCGCGGCGCTGTTGAAGCTGCGGGTCCCGCTTCGTTTCCACCTTGCTGCTTCCCGGCTTGCTCTGCCGGCCTCGCACGTCCAGTTAGCCGCTGCACGGAGCACCGAACCGGCTCTGCCGCCCAGATCGTGTATCCCTGACAGCAACATGCCCGCCCAGTTGTCGCAGCCCCCCGCCCGTCGCTAGGTCTGCCCACCGGAGGCGGGTGCCGAGTCCGCTCCGCCCACGCCAGCTCGTCACATCTATCACGCGGATTATAGGGGCTGAGTCGTGACGCATTATGACGCGGCGGGGCATGCAGGGGTCGCGCTCCTTGTTTGCATGCAGAAAGAGGTGATCAGTTTACCGATGCAAGTTCTGACCTTGAACCGCAAACAGGGGTCGAGGTACAATCTGGCTAAGCCTCAAATGTGCTTGTTTTATACTCAACTAGAGCCGCGCACAGCACCTGCTTTGCAAGTGATTTGCATTGTACGTGCCATTCACAGCAAGTAGGTCTCGGCTTACGCCGCTGCAATCTCCCTGAGAAGCGCTTCCGGTATCAGGACTTGATCCAACTCAAGTCTTTCCTATTCCTTTGCAGCTGCAAAACCCCAGAAATTCCAGCAAGTTCACCACTTCCGGTCCGGCGGGTTGTTCAACGGCTTCAACAGCGGAAGTGGCATAAGAAGTGAGGACTCCTTCCGGTTCCGGTCTCGCGAACTCCAGTGTGGCAACATGAAACTGCTCACCCACAATCTCCTGAGCTCGCATGTGCGGGGCGTGGGCACGCGTGGCTTCCCGCTGCGGCTGCAGGTACTTGCATACGAGTCTGTCGCCCTTGTAGCTCAGGATAGAGACGCCGGGCCCGACTCTACCTCGCTAAACCTTTCCTCCCCGCAGGCCACCGAGGTCCGCATCAACCCCGTGGAGTTCAACCCCGACTTCGTAGCGCGGATGATCCCCAAAGTGGAGTGGGCGGCGCTTGTGCAGGCGGCAAACACCGTGAGGATCCCGCCCCTAATGACAACCCGGGAGCTCTCAGGGGCTCCGACCCCAGCCAGGGCAGAGTGGAGTTTGTATGCCCGGTGATCACGTGAGCCTCTCTTCCACAGTTAAACCTGACAGAAGTACCCAAAGAGCCGACTGAAGGTTATGAACAAGACGAGACGTTTTTGAGGAAGATGCACCACGTGTTGCTTGAGGTGAGAGTCCTGTCACCTGCCTAGCTGCCCTACACGGAGGCTCCCGGTACTCAGCTTTGCCCTGCTCTCCCACAGGTTGATGTGCTAGAGGGCACCCTGCAATGCCCAGAATCTGGCCGTCTTTTCCCCATCAGCCGCGGGATCCCCAATATGCTGCTGAATGACGAGGAGACTGAGACGTAAACTTTGGCATTTTGTGATGTGTGTGTCAGTTGTATAGCCTGTTAAATAGGTGTGTGACCCCGATCTCCCCCCAGTGACTCAAAAACCACCATGTACTTGAGCTCCATAGTATATTTTTTTCTCATTAAAGGTTCAAAACCAAAAGCGGTTTCTCTTTGCAGCAAATATACATTAAAATAGAGTCTCTGTACAGCCAAGGGCTCTGGGCCCTGGCTTGCCCCATGGCCCTGCGCCTCCCTGGCCAAACCCAAAAATAAATATAGTGTTATTGCTCTGCAGGGCATAGAGGCAGTGCTGTCCCCCACCCCTCGAGGTGGGAGCTGATGGGGGGCTCTGGTCACCCCAGGGGTCCAGGGGCTGGAGCCTGCTTGGAGTTATTGCTTCAAGGGGGGGCACTAATGCCCAATGCGAATGAGGAGAGGAGCTAAGGGGACAGGGGCCTTTGCTTTCCAAGCCCCCCTCTGCTCTGGAGAGGGGTTCGGATTAAGCAGCAGCAAAAGCATCGCCCACTGGGAGACTGTGGCCTCCATCCCCTTCCCTCCCTGAGATCAGTTTCTGCCTCCCACACATCCCCTGCAGCCCCCTATGGCTTCCGCAAGGCCCCCTACACTCTTGGGGGCACATTATGGCTTGCAAGGGGCAGCACTGTGCCCACACCTGGGCATTCACTTTCCTGGCTTCTGACACCCCCCCAAGAGGGGGGAGGGGAGGGCATGAAGCCTGCTCCCAGGGGCAGATGGCATTGCCCTGGCCCTGCCAGCAGGCTGTGGCACTGCCCAGACTCCAGCTTTGCCCCCTTGGGGCTGACACCCCATGCTGGGCAGATCCTGCCAGTCACCCCACCCTGTCCCACCCCTTGCCTCAGTCCATCATGGCCTCAAGCATTTCCAAAAACAGCTTGTGCATGGGCACTTTGCCCTCCAGCTTCACCCCATAGAAATGGGCCAGGACTTTGCCTGCTGTCTGGCGGAGCAGTGGCAGCGTGAGCAGCAGCCTGCCTGCCCGCCTCCGCTCAGCACCCCCTCCAGGGCCAGCCCGGCCGGCTTCGTACTCCAGCAGGGCCTCGTGCAGGGCTTCCCGCAGCTGCTCCACAGCCTCAGCGTCTTCAATATGCACAGAGTCTGAGGAGACAGAAGAACCGCTGGTTGAGGTAACTGTGGAAAGGGCAGGATTCACTTGTCTGGGCACTCACTGCTCTGCCTGTGAGCCAGGGCCCACCCTTTCTCACCTGTGGCCACCTCTTGTCCTCCACACCTTCCCCTCCACTACTTCCTTGTCAGCACAGCACTAGGGCTCAGAATCCTGTGTACAATTCAGGACCTTGGCTTACTTGGTGATTTTCAGTAATTAAGCCTCAATTGTCCTTATCTATAAAAAGGGACTGTGCCACCACCATTGACAATTTGAGGGCTTTATGGGGGACCTGTGTGTGCCTTCCCTAGATACTCACCAGAATTGGCAAGGGCCAGAGCCTTCAACAGTACATACTCCTCCCGCTCCAGCCGCAGGGCTTGCAGTCGCCGTACCAGCTGCAGCAGGGCTGCCCCCAGATCCCCCAGACCAGCTGCCCGGGCCCCCTCTTCATCCAGGACCAGATCCTCAGCAAATGCCAGCTCATCCTGCAGTGGTAGTGAGCGCTGGGCCACACCTAGCACCAGCACCTCCATCCACACACTCTGGAGTACTGACATCTGGTCAGACAGTGACAGCGAGGAGAAGCCTGGAGAGTGGCGGGAAGAGGACCAGTCAAGAATGCAGCAGTAAGAAGTGGCCTACCTGCTCAGAGATGCCCTGACCACCAAGCCCTTTACCTGGGATGCTCTTGGCCCAGCTGATGGTGACCACTATTTCTCGATCAAAAAGGTCGCAGAGTGTGGCCACAGCAGGGAGGTGTCCATCAGGGCTGGCTGGATCAGGCATGGCATACAGCTTCTCAGGCTCAACCACCAGCAGATGAGACACCAGAGCATTCACTGGGGCTACAGCGACAGGTGCAGGACTAGAGTCATGAACACGGATCCAGCGGATCTCTACAGTCCCTCAGAGCCAAGCATCTCCCAGACATTCCCCTCCCGCCTTGCTTGAGAGCACTGGTAAACCTGAAAACACAACTCACTTCCCCAGAGAAAGGTGAGCCCTTTTCCTGGGGCTTGGGTATAGCTTGCATACAGCCCTAGCCTAACATTTAGTAGGTTCTGGTTCCCCTAACAACTTTTAAAAAAAGAAACCCTGTGCTGATTTGTTTTTTGTCAACTTGAGATAGATAGATAGATGGATGGATGGATGGATGGATAGATAGATAGATAGATAGATAGATAGATAGATAGATAGATAGATAGATAGATAGATGATAGATAGATAATCTGGGAAGAGGGAATCTTAATTGAGATAATGCCCCCGCAGTGTTCTTCCGTGGCCTGTTTCAGCTCCTGCCTTGAGTTCCTACCCTGACTTCCCCCAGTGATGGAGTGTGGCCCCAGAGTTGTAAGATAAAATAAACCCTTTCCTCCCCAAATTGTTTTTGGTGTTTTGTCACTGCAATAGAAACCTTCCTACTTGGGCATCTGACCTGTGAAGTAGTTTATTGTCCTTGAATGTAGCCACCTATGATCCCAAACTCCCAATCCTGGTTTGCCTCCTGAGTGCTGGGCTTAAAGTCATGTGATACTAAGGACCAAACCCAGGGCTTAACGCATGCTAGACAAGCACTCTACTGATATTTTCATAATTATTTTTTGGGAAGAAATGAGAGAAGGTAAGACCAGGGTCCTAGGGCATGTAAAGAAATCAAACAGACCTCTCCAGTGGCTGTCCCCTGCCCAACGCATAGGAACCCAGGCTCTCACCTGTCTTCCGGGGGCCTCCAGCTACTGCCAGAGGACCAGCAGGGAAGGGGCCTGGAAAGGGCAACGGGTCCACCTCTGGCCGCCGCTTGTACTTCTGTCGCCCACCTCGGACGCGGTCCAGACGTACGCCTTAAATTGTAAGACCAGACTGTGTCCTAAAACAGCTGCCCCACAGAGCCCTACTCCCCTCACCTCCTCCCCAGGCTTCCACCCAACCCACAGGACCACCCCCGTCTCACCCAGGCACTGCCCAGCGCTCACCCTCCTTAAGCATGCCCACCCGCAGGCACTTGGTGAAGCGGCAAGCCTGACAGGCCTTGCGTCTCCGCTTGGTGATCTCACACTCATTGGAGGCCGGACAGCTGTACTCGATGCTCCCTGCCAGGAAGAGGCAGGGCTCCAGTGGCAGCCTCCCAGAGCCCCAAGGGGGCCCCCGATGACAGGAGAGCCCTGACTCACCCCGAGCAAGCACCAGTCTGGGGGTATGGGGAGGAAAGGGAGAGCAGGATGCCATGAGCAGGGCAGGGAGGGAACAGCCACTGCACTGGGGAACCCTGCTTGGATGAGGCCAGGCCCTGGAAGTCAAGCTGCATATTCGCCCTAAAACCATACTGCTGGCCTACACTGTCCTCACCTGCTGTCCAGGGCCACAGCAACCTCCCAGATAAATCCAAGGCTCCACTGAATCCTTGCCTCCCTTGCCTCAAGCATTGCTTTCTACTCCTAGAAATCCTCCAGTGGTATCTTCCTCTCCGCTAGGACAGGCTCTCCTGATCCTCCTACCCACTGGCGGCTCTACGGTTTCTGTACAGTGAACTGATCTGCCCGTGAGGCTGTTCTTACTCGTTCTCCCCATCTCCCAGACTTTCAGCTTGAACAGCATTGTGCTCTAGACATACAGCAGCCCCAGGACACCCCAAGCTCTCCAATCCCCTACCTCTCCTGCCAAGTCTGC